TCTCCCCTCAGCTCCATCCCCCCTCTCCCCTCAGCTCCATCTCCCCTCAGCTCCAGCCCTCCTGCCTTCCCCACAGAAAAATTCCCACAGCTCCAGGGTCACTCCATCCCATGATTTTGAACACAAGGAGTACGTGCAAATGAAAACACAAGCAAGGAAAGGAAAAGCATATTTTAATTAAAATTATTACAATCATTCCCACAGCACATGATTTTTTTCTTAAAAGAGACAAAGACTCCTCTTTAGAAAGTTGTTATCTGCCAGGTCTTGGATTTCACTTCATTTTCAATAAAACATCAAGAGAAGAAAAAGCTCTTCAGCAAATTTCCAACTTAATTAAAATAAATCTGAGCTCAATCAAGTTTCTGAGCTGATGGGTGAGAAGAGAATGACCTGAGAGCAGCAGCACGAACCAGCCCTTGTGCCCCAAACCTGCAGCAGCAGAACCAGCCCTTGTGCCCCAAACCTGCAGCAGCAGGAGAAACCCTGAGCTGTGCTGGGAGAACTGGGATCACATTCCCGGGGTGCCCACGGCTGCTCCCACACAGCTCCTGGCTCCAGAGCTCGCCAGGGAGAGCCCAGGCCGTGCCCAGCACACCCTGCACAGCCAGGGAGAGCAGCCCAACAGCAGCACGGGACAGCCCCAGGAACCCAGGCTGCAATTCCCAAAGGCAAAGCAAGAGAGGTTTGGTTTTCCGTGTCCTTGTCCACAGCCATGTCCAGTTCCAAGTTCCTTTTTGACCCCCAAGGTTTATTTAAACTGCAGGAAGGAAAGGGAGGGATCATTGGGCTCTGCCCCTCTATCAGCCACACATTTTTATTTTCCTTCCCATAAATAAAAGTCACATTTTAGCATTAGATTTTGTTTTCATGTTGGCAAAGAGAAATATGTGGAGTTACTGATGATAATTTTCCCTCTCGTAAGAAAAGCCCAACATTCCCCCCAATAAAAAACAACCACACACAAAAAGAGAAAATACAGGAACAAACCTTTCCTACCCTCTCTGAAATTCCTCCCTGACAAACCTGAAACTCACCCTGAGCCCTGAGTGAGTCTCCCTCAGCCTGACCTGAGCAGGGAAATTCCCATCACTGCAACCCCTGGGACATCCCAGCTGCTCCTGAATCCATGGGGACTGTGCCTGGGACATCCCAACTGCTCCTCAATCCATGGGAACTGTGCCTGGGACATCCCAACTGCTCCTGAATCCATGGGGAACTGTGCCTGGGACATCCCAACTGCTCCTGCATCCATGGGGAACTGTGCCTGGGACATCCCAACTGCTCCTGGATCCATGGGAACTGTGCCTGGGACATCCCAACTGCTCCTCAATCCATGGGAACTGTGCCTGGGACATCCCAACTGCTCCTCAATCCATGGGAACTGTGCCTGGGACATCCCAACTGCTCCTGAATCCATGGGAACTGTGCCTAGGACATCCCAACTGCTCCTGCATCCATGGGGAACTGTGCCTAGGACATCCCAACTGCTCCTGAATCCATGGGAACTGTGCCTGGGACATCCCAAGTGCTCCTCAATCCATGGGGACAGTGCCTGGGACATCCCAACTGCTCCTGGATCCATGGGAACTGTGCCTGGGACATCCCAACTGCTCCTGAATCCATGCGGAACTGCCCAGGGTCCATCTGGGAGGAGCTGAAGGCTCATCCCATGGGAAAGGTTGACTGGGGATTATTTCTGGAGAGGAACTCCTCACTCACCGCAGTCTCCAGGGCCTGCTTTAGGTCTTCGATCAAATCCTCCTCATCCTCCAGCCCCACCGAGAGGCGGATCAAGGTGTCAGTGATTCCCAGAGCTTTCCTTTCCTTCTCAGGCACTGAGGCGTGGGTCATGATGGCCCTGCAGGGATAAAAACCATCATTGATCTCAAGAATTTGGGAGTTTTATTGGCAGAAGCAGCCAGGCCGGTTCCCTGCCAGCACCCCTGCAATGGCAGCAGGATCTGACACCTCCTCTGTGCCACTCATGGGACCCCACAGGTGCAAAGAGCTCCTGGCAACACTTCCTGGGAAGGATGGGAATGATGGGAAGGATGGGAAGGATGGGAAGGATGGGAAGGATGAACTCACGGATGCTCTGCCAGGCTCTCGTAGCCACCCAGACTCTCAGCCAGGGCAAACACCTGCGGGAGAAAGGGAAAGCAGTTGTTATCAGGAGTGGGAAGTTGTGGGATCCCATTTATGGGAAAATGAGCATTTACTAAATTAATTAGTTTAGCCTTCTGGAATAAAAGAATAAGGTCGTCTTTGTAGATAAAAAAAGTAATGTTGCAAAAAAAAAAGAAGCAGAACAGTTGTTAACAAACAAAGGGGTGTCAAAACAAGTAAAATAATGTTAAACCAACCAATTAGATTGAGAAAAAAGACTTGTGCTTGCCTAGCAGACAAAATAGAGCTGCCCATCAAGAAATGAGTAAAAAAAGCAAAGCAACCAATCAAACAATACATGACTGTATAAACCATGATAAAAAGTAAATATAAACAATGTTTAAAACCACAATAAACAGCTTTTACTTGGTTCATATTAAATCATACAGAATTCTTTATCTCCTCAGGAGTTTATGGATTCACTGAAAGAGAACTGATGGAATCAGGGAATATCCTGAGTTGCCCACAGGGATCACTGATCCAGCCCCTGGCCCTGCACAGACACCCCAACAATCCCACCCTGAGCATCCCTGGCAGCGCTGTCCAAACCCTCCTGGAGCTCCGGCAGCCCCGGGGCTGGGACCTCTTCAAGGACTTTGAGGAAAAAGGAAAGTTGAGGGACTCCTTTTCCCCAAGCTTTTCTATAATAACTTTTATATTCTAAAGTGTAATAGGTGTAATTAGGGAATAAAGTTCACATCTGGCAGGTAAGAGCTAAGACTGAAAACAGACTCATCCTGGCCCATCCCTGGGAGTGTCCAAGGCCAGGCTGGAGGGGTTGGAGCCACCTGGGACAGTGGGAGGTGTCCCTGTCCATGGCAGGGGTGGAATGGGACGAGCTTTGAGGTCTCTTCCCACCCAGAGCAGTCTGGGATTCTGTGGAATGACTTTCCTACCACCCCAGTGACAACGTGATGCTGTCCAAGTCACAGGGGTTGGACAGCCATCCCCCTCCTCCTGGGCACATCCCTGACAGCTCCTGCCACAGCCAGCAGATCTCCTGGGCCAGGATTCAATCCTCTCCCTCACATCAAAGGATATTTTGTGGGCAAATCCCATTTCCAGAGAACTCCTTTCCAGGGGATGACATCAGCTGGCCAGGAGGGCAGGGAGGAGAAGGAAGTTCTAATCCACCTTTGCCACTCGTCACTGGTTGTTTTTCCAAGACCAAAGCAGCAGAAACACCAGGGCAGGTGCGAATTAAGCAGAGCTCAGGGCACAAACACCTCTCAGGGCATGGGCAGAGCCAACCTGGCCAAACATCAGCACAGGCTGGACCAAGGACCCAAGCAGGCACTCGCAGAGCCAGGGGCTCCCTCTCTGCCCCACGACTCAGGGCTTTCCTCAGTGCCTCTCCCTCCCTCCCGAGGGCACTTTGCAACAGCCCAGCAGAGCTGCCCAGGCTGCAGAAAGCCCTTTGTCAGCAGCAGCTCCTGGGCTCAGCTGGCCACCCTCACCCTGCGAGCAAACAAACACTTCCAAGGGGCTGAGGTGTCCCTTTGTTCCCTCTCATTAACCCCCATGGACAAATTATCCGTGGTTTGAGAGGGGCACACACACAGCACTTGGCAGGAAAAGCCACTTCCAGCCTCCCCTCAGCAGGGCAGGTTCAGCTCCCTCTGAAGTTGATTTTATTCCTTTACCTTCAGGCTCTTGAGGAAGGCAACGGCATTTTCTTTTTTCCCTTTGATGTAGAAGGTGATCATCCCAGGACAGCCTGTGCACTGCTTCTGCATCACATGGTACTGGGGGTGGGAAGGCAACCCTGGAACAGGGAGAGTTGGGAGAATTCCCAGTGAATTCCAGTCCAGAGCTGAGCACCCAGCCCCAGGAACAGGGCACCACAGCTCCCAAACCCCTGCCCTGGGATGCTCCCAAACCCCTGCCCTGGGGATGCTCCCAGATCCCTGCCCTGGGATGCTCCCAGACCCCTGCCCTGGGGATGCTCCCAGACCCCTGCCCTGGGGATGCTCCCAGACCCCTGCCCTGGGGATGCTCCCAGACCCCTGCCCTGGGGATGCTCCCAGACCCCTGCCCACTCACCTGGGTAAATGACCTTCTCCACCCGGGGATGGGTTTCCAGGAACTTGGCCACAGCCAGGCCGTTGTGGAAGTGCAGCTTCATCCGGATGTGCAGAGTCTTGAGCCCCCGGTTACACAGGAAACAGTCAAAGGGAGAGGGGACAGCTCCCAGGTCTGTGGGAATGGGAACAGAATTCCACAGCAAAGTTGGTGTTTTGCATTCAGCAAAGCCAAACCCACCCTCATCTCCAGCATTCCTGAGCTTAGAACAAGTGGGAAGACACCCGAGGCAATCTCTGTTCCTCATCTCCCACATTGGGGAGCCAATTAATGAGGCCAATTAACGAGCTCAGGCCTCAAGGATTACATTTATTTGGCACAATGACCTTCCCTGCTGAGGGCACAACCCTGGACAGGAATTTATTCCTGACAAGAAGGAGGAAAATTGCTGGAATCAACAGAGAACAGAAAATCCTGCATTAAACACACCCTGATGGGTGAGTGAGTTTCAAACCCCCCAAACTGCAGCTGGGCACCTCAAGGGTTTCAGGATAGACCTCAGTGCTCCCCTGAAGTGCCTGGGAAGTGCAGACCAATGTCTCTCCTTCCATGGGGGTTTTTCCTTAGTGGAGTTTTTATTGGAGGATTTTTAATTGCACTTTACTCAGTTCTGCCCATTCCAGTCACATTCCCAGGCAGATTTCCCACTTGTGTGCATGCACACCCTCCCCAGCAGGAGCTGTGGATGTGAACAGGATTCCTGTCAGGAATTCCTTGTCTGGACTTACAGTTCTGCAG